AATGCCACGGTGCTTTCAGGTAAGAGCTCAGGCTCCCAGGTCCTCATGTTTTTATTGCTCCTATCATCGAAGCAGGGCAGGACATTGACACTCTGTGCTTCCTCCCCTGTTTATGGCATCAAAGAGCAGTAACCTCCTGCTCTTGGCAGGCATACAGACTGATTAAAAACATACAAAATTTACACAAAGTGTTCTCATGACTTGGGAGTGCAAAACAGTACTTCAAGTACTTCACAACTCCCCTTTGAAAAAGCAGGAACAGACTAAGCAGAAAGTTCCCCTGAAGATATTAAATCCCAGAGGGAAGGGAAAAGTAGCGCAGCAGTGCCAGCAGAGTTACTGAAATCATAAACAGCTCAAAACATATTGTCTAGGAGAAAGCAAACATGGAACCAAACATCTAGCAGGGGAGTGCTTCGGGTCCTCGTAAGCATGCAGGGATATTTACATTAATTGACAAATGCATTAAGAGCAGCAGCATTCACTAGCTTCAGAAAGCAACTGGGTATTTTTCAGGAGTTGGTTTTGTTCTAACAAACTGCTCAAGTTCAGGAGGTTTGTTTCAACCCCAAAGATGTGGATATTTAGGGATCACGAGTGGAGTTAGTTAATCTCAATGGGAGCACTCAAGCCCAGGGCCAACACGACAGCCTTGTAACTATCTCTGATCAGATTCGTGTTCTTCTAGGACGCGCATTTCCATTTTTATTGTACATCACATCACTCTTGCTCATCCTGCACCAACATGGGATCTGTCCGATTACACAGCAAAGACCAAGCAAGGAACAGGCAGTGCCAGAAATACCGGAAAAGCGCTGCAGGACCCGATGAAACACTGGAAGCTCTCCCAAGAACTGCTCTTTTCACATAGATCCTAGGGTGGTTTAAGTCTTTAAGTAGAGGCACTACCTGCACTGTCAGGAGAGCACCGTCCCTGGGGCGGCATCATTTAATAAACTACAGCAATAATTACCAACCTGAGAAGGGCAGGAAATAAATGCCACGCATATTTGAGAAGGGAGCTGTGGATGAGATAAGTGAGCAAAGATTTGGCAGGAGAAGAGCCACCACACCAAACAAAGGCTTCTGCGAGAGACCCTCAAAGGCAAAGAGGACCACCAGTCTTCAAGGGTTTAAGAAAAGCAGTCTGTGCCTTTCCAGATGACAAATTTGGAACCCACTTTAAAAACCTTTTCTGCTCAGGTTTGTCAGTTGCACTTTAGAAGAGAATACCAAGTTTTCATGTACCTTACACTCAGAGCCATGCTGGGATAAAAGCAATTTGAACAGATTAGAAAGCAACTATTAGCAGTCATTTTTCAGAAGCAGCTTTCTAGAACACATTGATATGCTTCAAGCCATCATGTTATTTGCTGCAAAAAGCCCATGCCATGTTCAAGAGTGCATTAAGATTTACTAAGATGGAAAGAAAATTTTAGCCTACAGTACTAGAGGAACAAGGAAAGCTGCAAGGACAGCACTTTGGCTTTAAGCTTCAGCATAAAAGTGTAATTTATTAAAGGAAAAGAAACTGTTGGATTCTACACTTCATACAAGCCAGTGACTTACACAGACAATTTGAACTCTGCATGTCATCACCGCAGTGGGAACTATGCAGTGCTGAGAACAGAAGGGCTGCAAACAAGGTACATGTGTGCTCTAGATGACCGTCTGTCCATTTATGGGCTCTGCCATCCCTGAAATCCTTCACTTCCACCTCTTTACAGATCAGAGACTGCCACGGCACATTTCTTCCCTACTAATTCCTAACCCTGCGTTATCCAGAGCTCAGGCTGGCTGAGGACTGCTGAGTTAGGACACCCATGCTCACCAGAACAGGCAGACCTGGGAGAGAATCACAGAATAGTTTGGGTTGGAAGGTCCCTTTAAACATCCCTTTAAAGGCCGTTCAGTCCAACCCCTCTGCCCTGAGCAGGGACATCTTCCACTAGACCACTCTGCCCAGAGCCCCATCCAACCTGACCTGGAATGTTCCCAGGGATGGAGCACCTACCGCCGCTCTGGGCAACCTGGACCAGTGTCTCACCACCCTCAGCGTAAAACATTTCTTTCTTAGATCCAGTCTAAGCATCTTTTAGTTTAAAGCCATTACCCCTTGTCCTATCATAACAGGCCCTGATAAAAAGTCCATCCCCATCTCTCCTGTAGGCCCCCTTTAAGTACTGGACGGGGCTCTAAGGCGTCCCCGGAGCCTTCTCTTCTCCAGGCTGAACCCCTCCAACTCTCCCAGCCTGTCCTCCCAGCAGAGGGGCTCCAGCCCTCGCAGCATCTCGGTGGCCTCCTCTGGCCCCGCTCCACCAGGTCCACGTCTCTCCTGTGCTGAGGCCCCCGAGCTGGAGGCAGCACTGCAGAGGGGTCTCCCCAGAGCAGAGCGCAGCAGAGGGGCACAATCCCCCCCTCGCCCTGCTGGCCACGCTGCTGGGGATGCAGTCCAGACAGAACAGGATCTTGTCTCATTTACAAAGTTGGGAATGCTACCGGTTCAGCTGGGACAAAGGCTTGCCTCTGGAGCTATCTGTAATGCCAAAACCACCGGTATCAGGCACCGCACACCAAGTCTGCCTCCGAGAGCAGCGGTGCGGAGATCGGGCTGGCCCAGAGGAAGGGGCCGAGACGTCACTCAGCCCTGGCTGTCCAGATAAAGCTGGGCTGGGGCAACAGAAATGGGAACCAGACAAAGAAAAACAAACCTCTTCCTGCAGCCGGGTGGGAGCTTCCCCGGGTCCTAGCGCTGCTCTTGGCACTTCCACTCCCCAGCTCTGTCCTCCCCTCGCAGCAGAACTGAGCCCTGCTTTGCTAAGCCAGCTCTCGTCTAGCATCGACTGTTTATTCAACCTGAAACCTCAGCTGCGCACTGCTTCACCCGGGAGGTAACCTGTGCTTCCAGCAGCCCTCACCCGACCGACAGCAGCAAGGCAGGCCCTAGAGCAAGCGCCAGCCTTTTGGGGAGCTCAGCAAGAGAAGAGGAGGTTTTCAGCCACTCGAACAGAGACTCGTAGGGCCAGGGAAGCATGCTGGAAGGTCTGATGAGTCCAGAATAAGATAGTCGCAACACAGCAGGTATAAGCAAGCTGATGGAGGGAAAGCTGCTGTACTAAAAGGTAGACAGCAAAAGCAACATTAGAAGGGACAAAGCAATTTGAGCAGAAAATAACCCCCTCCACACCCACCCACCGCCCTCGCCAAGTTCACAAGGAGAAAGGCCATCCTTGTGGTGTCAGTTCCAAAAACGCAGCTGGGCCAACTCTGATCCCAGGCTGCCTTTTACTCCCGCCTATCCCAACCAGCACTGAATAGCCTCCAAGTCAAACCACCAAAAGGTCAAACCTACCACCTTCCACGCAACTAACTGAAGCCTAAATCAACAGCGCTACGAATATACAAGAACCTGGCCAACATTTAGCTGCATTGGCTTCACAGGCTACTGGAAAGAAAGTTTGGTTTTGCTTCAAGCAAGCAACCTTGATTTTTGATACACACTGGAAGAACATCAGGAGAGAGAAAAATAATCTCGAGTAGACTAGCACCATAGCAATTAACAACAAGGAAACTGGGTTTTATATGCTTTCAGAAAGTTGTCTGTAGCCAGCGCACATTTAAGAATGCCAACATGACAATATCCTGATCTGCATCAGTTTGTGCCACTTGAGAAGTGGGGAGGGAAAAACGACTGGCACCAAATAACATGCTGTGCATCTCATAAACAGTCTGCAACCTGAGGTTTATAGCAAGTTTCAGAGCTGACTCAAGAGGAAGGAGAAGAGGGTTCACATAGCTGCAGCAATACTGCATTGTTACTCAGCTGCGTGCACATGGCTGTGGTTCAGTTAAGGTCTCAACAGCAAAAAAGAAAGGTAAAGGACGGCGTAAAAACAGTGTAGCTCTTTCCCAAATGGCACAGTTCACATTTGGAAAGAGACACTATTTCTCACACCAGAGAGAGAGAGAGAGAGAGAGAGAGAGAGAGAGAGAGATCCTAAATAGAAGGCACTCTTAGCATAAGAGTCTATTTTAAGAAAGCAACCAATACTTATCAACTCCAAATCAGGATGTTGATATTGGAAGGGACCCATCTCGTCCAACCCATATAGTCAAGTTTCCACATCAGTTCTCCTCAAGCTGTTTTCTCCATTCTGTAGAGTCCTCCAGTGGCTTGAGCCACAAGCACACCCTTCCGATGGAGAAACACCATGTCACTGAGTTACCAGTGCTTATTTCATAAGCCAGAATAGAGATGTTGGAATTTCATGAATCTGCTCCAGTTTTTCAAGCAGTTATTTGCTATTTTATTTCTAGCTTAAGTGACTGGAATAAAGTTAAGTACCAGGAGACATCTCAGTTAGATCACCGTTACCCAAGGACAAAGATAAGATGGATACAGTCTAAAGAACATTTCCTTATCAAACTTCCGATTTGCTCTCGAAGGTTTGACAAGCCTGATCAGTCCAGCCAGCTGCAATTTTTCTGGTCTTCTACGTTCTTCTGCATATGCATCACCTAATCCAAGAGGACACAGGTTTCAGGTCCCGCCTTCACTTCCATCCACCTTTGGGCAAGAGGTCCCAAAAGCTAGGTTCACCCCAAGATTATGAACATGCACTGTGGTCTTTGCTCTCCGTACTACATGAGTCATTTTATACAAACAGGCTCCAGCACTCACTGTGGTATCCTGCATCTTACCCACGAATGGCTATGTTATTAAAAAAGCACAGGGCAGAGAGACTCAGTTCATCAACACACAAACATGTGACCAAATCACATTTCCAGCTCCCAGACCTCAAGCCAAAAGACCAAACTTCCTCTCTGTTTGGCACGTGGTATCTGGAAGTCTACAGTAAAAACATTCTGCAGACTTGAAGCAAAGACCTTATGATTGCACCGAGGGTTGCAGCAACATCCCCTGCAACAATGCTGCAAGCAATAACATCTCTCCTGCATAAACATTAAAAGGGTTTTGACCGAAAGTGAGTATTGGTTACCTATAGACGGGGATTTGAAAGGGTATTTATCAGGAAGGTCGACTCTAACTTTCCATACTCCACCTTCATATGGTGCTGCAATGAAAGAAATGCAGGTATTAGACACTTCATAACTCAGGAGAGAATAAATAGAACTACAGCATTAAGGAAAACACATCTTTGGAAAGATTACTTAGTTCCATCAGGGGGTAAGATTTCATATCAAACCTCCTACGGTAAAAGCCTTTTTCCTGTGCTGCCTGACAAGAAATACATGATTTTAACTGATACTGCAGAAGATCTTGGCACAAAGACACAAGAGCCTTATTAAAAACAGAGACTTTGGAATAATCTACTTACCTTTAGAGATGTTACTAAATTAAGACACACTGGAGACCTGACTTGTGATCTAGTCACTAGAAAAGCCATCTTAATTACAAACTCTGCAAAAATTCAGATGACTGATGCAAAATTTATGAGCCAGGTCTAGAAAAGCTAAGGATCAACAAAAGTGGTGCTGAAGGCCATAGCAGAGGGCTTAACTGTCCGAAGGCGGTATCCAGCTCTGCTCAGCTCCAAGGGAGGTGGTTCATCTGCATTAATGCTCACACTTGTATTTCTCCCCACCCTTGAGAGAGCAGCCTTCAAACACTGCCACCCTTTGATTTCTCACCCCCACTTAGATTTGCTCATCTCTTCTTCCACTCCAGAAGAATGCGTCATTTCACTGTTCCCCACCATGAGCCATTAGTTTATTTTTATAGAAGGGCTGGGTCATATACTTACTTCCTTGTGGTCCGTAAAACTTCACAACAAATTCATTGAGTCCTCCTAAGATTGTGACTTCGTGTTTGCTCTCAATACTGATACATCAAGTAAAGGAAAACATTTAGTCCGGGAAACAAAACCCATTTATTCAGATACAGGTAATTTGCTAGAAGCCTGTCACACCAAATAGTTTAAAACCAAATATTCAAAATATTCTACAACATACAATTTAAGCGTCTTGACACATCTAAGTGACCACACCACCACAATGACGTTAGTAAAAGCCAATTCTACACACTGAAGAATCCCTCCCCTCTGCATTGAGCAATCTTGAGATGATGCCTCCCTTCCCTTTAGAGCTGCTTAGTGTTTTCCACCTACTTTTGCAGAGTGAGTGCGAGCTCCGATTTAAGAAAATGCCGAGTCCCTATCAGCAACGTATTTGGAAACATATTCGGGCTGCGGAGGGGAGCTACAATCCAGAAACAGCAACAGCTCCAAAGCCTCAGTGAACACAGACACGAACCCCAGGGGCAAGGCTCGGAGGTGAGGCCAGGACTCGGAGAGATCTCTCTCCCTTCCAGCGCTCGGGAGACGAGCCACAAAGCAGAAAGTCACCCTTGCCAACTGCTCACATTAAATGTTTACTCTCCTGCCCAGATTAGAGGAGCAGAACTCACCCCAGTCCCTGCTCTGACAAACGTGAGAGCTGATGAATTCAATTCTCCTTGGCTGCCTTCGGCGCTGTCAGATGGCCTCCCACAGCTACGATGCAAATTATGGCAATCTCATGTTAATTTGACTTGCAAGACCAAAAAACTCTGTGTCTTCAGAGAGATGGCAGAAGGGCGAGATTATGAGGCACTGTTACAGTGCAAAAAGAACAACTGTATTTCTCAACATTTAAAGGAAAGACTCAAAGCGCCAGCGCTTTGGGAAGAAGGGAATACAAGGGAAAGGCAAGAAATCTTCATTTCAAGTAAGGCTCAGTTCAGACAATTAATGGCGATGTTTCAGGACCCAAGCTTGCTGAAGAATTCTGCTATAAATCAGGGTTAATGGATTGTGAATAATATCCTACAGCAATTACTTTTAATCAATAATCTTAATATGAATTACGAGGGAAGCATCAGAAAAAAAACACAGCAGGAGAAAAATCAAAGGTTTATTCCCACCTGAACTTCAGACTGCTTCAGCTCTGCACCACAGAGGCTGCCCCCGTTTGAGGGAAAGGGGCAACAGCACAGAATATCGAATAAAAGATCCTTAACATCACAGCAGCAAGCTTGGCAGAAACGCTCAGGCTAAGAGGAACTGAAGCCAGGTTCCCTTTTACAACCAAGATTTTTCACTCTGATGCAAAAGGTTTTCTGCTTTCAAGGCACAAAATTTGCCCAGGAAGCTCTCCACTTTGCGGCAATCACGCGGACCCCCTTGCACCTTCAGGGCACGGAGCGAACAGGCACTCGTGTGCCTGGGCACACACATACACGTTCCCTTAAATATTTCCGACCTACCAGGAACCTAACTGCCTGGAATCTACCGCCACGAACAAATAATTCTCAGCTCAGACATATCCCCGATCTCACATTACAACCCATGGAGTCTGCTTAAGGTGCATCACAAGCTACTTTAAGGGATTCCCGTTTCCAGAAGTGCCAGTTCAGTCCCAACAGTCTGTGTACGTACTCATACGCAGGAGATCCGAGTCCCATCTGCGGGGTCTGTCAGGATTTATTACAGTTCCTCAAGTACAATGACTCCCAGATTGGACAGAGCTTTCCCACAGTGCCAGCTCCAAAAGAGTTTGGACGCAATAACCTCCTTCCCCTCATTCTCATGGGGAGGGAGAAAAGTTTATAGCGGTTTGTTTTGGCTCAAGAGTTTTCTTGGTTCAGCATAAGCTGCTCTGCCCTACAGTTAAATGGCAAGTAGCTCGCTGCACCTGGCAGTCACCCAAGAGCAGCTCACAAAGGGCAGATCGATGCCTAACTGCCCCAAAGTGCAAGTGATTTCTCTGCCAAAAGCCAAGGGGCATCTCTGGGAAAAGCTACATCCCTCCAGGTTTGCGGAGAGTAGCTTAGCACCGAAGTATTGCAGCTTGCTTCAGACCTGATGTTAAGGGACATTTGTCACCAGATCTTTTCACGTCACCCAGTACCGTGACAGTAAGTTTTAAATATAGGCTCAACTGAGTTTAAGTTCCTTTGAAAACGTCCACACCCAGCTCCTGGATAACTATTCCAGGTTAAGAAACGGGCTCTTACACAAACCCGCCGTGTATGGTGATGCCCCAGAGTGAAACCTTTAATACTGAAGTATGTTAACACTTACAGCAGCTTCGCGGATCAGGTTAAATACAAATGGTTTTACTTAGGACTAAATCAAGTACCACTTAATAAAAAACAGCTCTCCCAGCCTGATCTTCAGAGCAAGCTCCTGAGCAGCTGCAGCTTATATGCTCTTTGGCTCCGCAAGTTAATACCAACCATAAATTAAAGCAGAGCTTTCTGCACTCAGACTCAGTCTTAGTGTTCCCAAATTAAAAAAAATATTAGTAAGCGATGTGGGGCCATATTTGATTATTTTCCCCATTGCTGCAAGGACATAATATTACTACCAAAAAAATGCAGCAAGTGAGTTAGGTTCACAAAAGGGATATGGATTGGGATGTGGATGCTGCGTTTGGGAACAACCACATTGTTTATTAACATGATACAAGGGTTTGAGGACAGACTGAACACAAAGTGAATTTCAGCAATAAAGCCCTCGTATCAACACAGGGGAAATCTCTGGAAATGCGTGAGCAGAAGCCCTCTTTCCTGGGCACAAAGCAGATTCCCCGTGAGCCCCCACTTTCTTACACAAGTGGGATGAACCGTCTTCCCCTCTCCACCAAGTTTTCTCTAAAGGTAGAGATGCTCAGGAATTTGAAACCTTGAAATCCCACTAAGAAAATGACTGAGAGCGCTAGCGGGATGAGTGCATGGAGCAATTACAACAAAAAGAACATTTACACCTACAAGTTCATTCCATCTCCAGAAAGTCTTCAAAAAAGGAAACATGTATTGCACAAGCCAGGACTCCGGGAAGACCTCAAGGCTTCTCCGTCCCACAAAGCTGTACCAGGGAACCCTCTAGCAGCACAAGGGAAGAGCATGGGGGAGCAGCAGAAGGGACTCGACACATTTGGAGGACTGGCCCTCCAGACCACGTTCCCGGAGAAAGCTCTGCCACGGCCGAGGGCAATGTATCTCCAAGTAAAGAACACAGGCTCTGACCCAACTATTTTCTCAGCTCAGACAGATTTCTTCCATAAGGCAAAAGTCTTACAAACAAATCCCAAACGAATCCCATTCCAAACACACCAGCAATTAATCAGCTGTCTCAGATCCAAAAAAAGAGTTGCCAGTTTGGAGACCCACAGGACTTAAGGAGCCCAGTTGTGCCTAGGGCACAATAAACCCCCTTCTCTCCGCACTCAGAGCTAGACAGGGACTGGTGCCAGATCCTGCAAAAAGTCCAAGTAGCTCCCAGGAAGGAGAAACGTCCCAGGTCTTCAGAAAACAGAGTACAGCTTGAGGAAGCCCCAGGAAAAGAGCAATTTGGAGCAAGATTTCCACAATTAAGGTGACCAAACTGTTCACAGCAAGCCCCGCACATTTCTCCCAGGACGTCTACGTTTGTGTCCAGGATTCCCATCCACCTCGTTCAGGAGAAAGCGCTCCCGTGAGTGTTCAGGACTTCAAAGACACAGTCAGGATTTATGGGGAAGACCACAAACCCCTCACCTTGTTTTACTCTACCCTGTCCAGACAAATTGCACTATGCCTACACTCTCTGTCGCTACACTCTTCATTATTCAGCTTTGCAGAACGAGAATGAGCAGGTAATGGATAAAGACTGCAACATTCTTAATTCTAGTGGCAATCCAGTGGTTCATACTGGTACGAGCAGTCTGCCTTTTTTCCACAGCAGGGCACACGGCTACACCATGTGTATATACAGGGTCAAGATTACAGAGCTACAAAACCAGCCTGTGACACGTCACATGCGCCAAAATGTTTAACAAAAATACAACCAATTCCCTTTCGAGAGTCTCAGCTTGCGCCTACTAGTCTAGGTGACGTATGGCCTTGCTGCTTTTATCTCTTTATCATCTCAGTATACCAATTTGACTTTGTGTCCAGTACAGCCAGTGTAAAAGTCAAGAGAAAAGAGAAAAATCTGGATACAAGTCAGGTTTCTAACGGATAAGAAGTTCAAAAGCTTTACCTTAAGACCACAGAAACTAGAAGGGAGTCCTGAGGACCTGAAGATAAATTATCTTAGTCCCGAGACTATTAAGAGAATTTTAATGACAGTAAGTGTCGAAAATATTTAGGTGATGATATGGAAAGCAAGCTTATTTTCAAATATCAGTTCAGAGGGGGTTGCTAGGAGAGAGACAGAAGGGAATTTTTCTGCAGCTGATTACAGACTCCCTATACAGTGCCTGAAATGTGCCAGAAGGGCAAAGGCCAACCGCGCCACGTATTAGCATTACAGTAACATCCAGAGCCCCCCATCAAGATCAAGGCTCTATTGTTCAGGGTTGGGCTGGTAGGAAATTGTTTCTTCAGTCAGAATGAAAAGTGATTTAAAAGCATTTTGCCTATTCTGCATTGGGACAAAAACCACACAAAACCTTTCAAATCTGGAGAGCGAGAGACTGCCCAACCATCAGTCAGAAATAGAGTGGCCACTGTGGATTTGCCTGTTCCAGGGTTGAGTTCCCATTCCCTCATCCTCGTACGGGGCCACCCACCACTATAGGGCTGGATCTCCCCTGCAGTAATCAAAAAATTTGTTAGGATTCAACTTCACACCCAGATCTCCCCAAATCCCAGATGAACATCACGGCCAACAGATGGCTAGTCTGTTTGCAGGGTTGAGTGACTTTTTCCCTGGCAAACATTTAGCCTAAAAAAAAAAAAAATCCCTTCATTAAGTTTCTTTAAAATTAACATAAGTTATAAGCTTTGGCAAATCCATTTTCCAGCTAAAAATATTTCACTGAAAATATTTTTGCATGCCTAGTGACACAAGTGGCCAT